TTTTACACACTAATCAATGTATGTTTTGTGAGCACATTTAACTGACTGTACGTTTAACTTTCCCTCTTCATAGAGATTTAACGCTGACATTATTGACTTTTTACATCAACTGGCCTTTAATTTCCTTTACTTCTTAACAGCTTTCAGTTATAACTCTCACCTTTATTCAGCTTTTACTCTTACACTTACATGTGCACTGCTTTCATCTCTCTTTTCAGCTAACATGTCAACTCTTTTCAGTGTTTACACTCTGAATGGCACATTCAGATCTCCAAGCATCACCTGCACCAGATCACCTGCTGTCAGTACTTATTCTTTTCACATCAGCTGACACCTTTCCATCTATACACTTGCACTAGCACTCTAATATCTGGGTTTCTCCTTAGTTCCAGTTGTGAACATTTGCAGCCTGTCTTTATTTTCGCTTGTTTTCCTCTATGTCCAGATCTTGGCTCTCACTCACATGCTGGAACAGGCCAGTGACACCTTTGGCTAAAATTGCTGGTGTCAGTGAGGTGCTGCTTGTTAGCGTGTTTGTTATAAAACGATGCCCAGGCCAGGGGTTTTTAAGCACCTTGTAAAAGTGGACTCCGTTTATAGCTCCTCCAAAGTCTGGAATGTTTATTTGAGTTTTTCTTTTTTCTTTTTAAATGTCTGTTTTTGTTTCTCCGTGTCTGGGAAAGGTCTTCAGAATAAATTCCTCTTGAAATAGACATATCCCTATAATCTATTTATTTTTACATAACTATTACTTGCTCAATGTTGTGTCTGGCTTGTGCTGCATACTAGGAGCAAGCTCAGATATTGGACCTTGTAAAGACAGGGAGAGAGGAGACTTGGCATTTACAGACATGAATTCATTAAGTTAAAATGTCTTACAAACACACAGTCGACGTAAGGAGACGGTGATTTTCTCGGGGAAATCGGCTGTGCTGTGAAAACCAGAGAGCCCGTACAAAATGTATGCTACGTTAAAAAAAAAAAAGAAAAGCGCCGACGGATGACGTGTTTTTGTAACAGGCAGGTGTGTTTCTCTGTGTACAAAACACACAGGTGATGAGATTCAGCCCATACATGACTGAAGTTAAACAGTGAATGTGCATTGTAGTAGCAAGAGGAAATGTTCATTGAGTCTGTTATGTGACCTTTTTTGGTAAAGCTTCTCAAGCACGGACTCTGACCAAACCCCTTGACCGATTGGTACACACACACACACACACACACACACACACACACAGGAGATGGTTTCAATCACAGACCTCTACAGTGGCTCAGACCCCTCCTCCAAATTTTTCACTTTCCGTGCTCCTTCACGGGTCTCTTTCATCCCCATTTCGAGCAATGCTCTCCTCCCTTTTATCTCATAGCGAACGTCTCAGTCCGTGCTTCACCTTTCCTTTTTTGTTGAATATCTCCATCACTTTCCTCTCAAACACTTTTTAAAAGAAAACACAGAGCAGTGGTGCCAGCTACTAGTAGTTAGTTTTGGCTTGCCTAAGTAGAACTGTCATACTACTGACTGCTGACAAATGACTGGACAGGTTACACCACAAACAACAGGTCATGCTGACGTCAGTGTTTTTGATAACACTTTATAATACAACCTGTCACTAAAAGTGTAACTAAATGGAATTTCAGTGTGTTGTATTTGAAATTACAATCTAATTATATTTACCTATAAATACTGAAAAGTCGGTGGACTAGAATAATGGGGTAACAAATGTATAAGTATGTTTTACTGTGCAATTTCATGGTAATTTTGCAGAAAAACAAACAGTATTTCTCCATCTTACATGTTAAATGCAGCGTATTTGTTGGGTGCGGGTCCTATTATGGAGTGGAATAATCTTCATTATACTGATGTGCATGATGGGTGTTCTATTATTCAATTGTCCTTTTATTTTACTAATATATATGTAAGTCCAACTTACTTTTGTTTCCTGTTCAAACACAAACTAAAGTAAATTTAAGTAAAGTATAATTAAAAAAACTGATTGTTACTACTTTATTCTAGTGTACACAGGTTTAAGTATATACAGTATAATTACATTGTAATTAAATTACACTGAAGCGCCATTGAATTAGAGGGGAGTTGCACCTGTAGCCGCCCGCCATATTATAAAAGTTTGCATAATGAAAATAGAAATTTAGAGTCAAAATAAAACTCCAACATACTGGTTTTCTATGTTTTCAACTTTATTGAAGAAAAAAAACACTTCAAGTAAGTCTCAGCTTTCAGCACTACAATTATGTGATGATTAGTAGTGGTCATTGTAGACAACAACAGCCTGAGTCACAAGGTAATGCTCGGATGAGGACCCCGAAGGCTGCGTGCGTCTCCGTGTGTGTGTAGTGTAGGCTGTTTCACATTAAAATCTCCAGAAAACACAACAAGATCATTGCATTAAAACACAAAAACAGACAGAGGATGTAAAAGGAGAAGCCACACTGGCAAATCATTCACAGGAGAAAAAGGGGAAAAAAAAAGAAAAAGAAAAGACGTGATCATCACTGAACTTTATCATTATAGAAATCTTCCAGATTCAGCCGATTACATTTCATTGCACAACCAGAAAACAAAGAACGACAAAACTAAAGGAAAGAATGTTTCGTCTTGTACCGTGAATACCCGTGAGAGAAACTGAAGTATAGCATACAACTTCCACCAGCTCAGAAGCAACCCATTTAATATCAGCAGTCTTTTTGTCTAAATGTCTGTCTATTTTGAGACCCCAATAGAAAAGCTCAGCTGTAAGGCCAAAGCGTATTTCATTTCAACATATGCTTGTTGAGCATGTGGAAGAACAACCTAACCGCATTCCAGGCAAACTGGTGGAGGTTCAAATCCAAACTTGCAATTTTGTTCCAAATATATCAGAGTTTGATCACAGGATGATTTTTGCTAACTTTTTGATATATATACACATATAGCTAAGCAATTTCTCTTTATGAAATGCCATAACAAATAGTGGCAATCTGGCTGTTGTAAACAAATAAAAATAATTAGTACAGAATACAGATCACAGCCTTATATCATTCCACTCACTGTCTCTTTCCAAAAAGCCTCAAAGTGTGCGACAGAGATCTTGAAATATATTCTGTAGAAAAACCCTGACAGGTACAAAAACTCTATTTGTCCAGTTCGCAAAAGAGCTACACAACAAACATCCCAACTGTGTCCTTTTTACATTGTGCATGAGACATGTGCCAGAGAGCAGTCTCAGTCTAAACTCATCCAAAAAGAGCAATACGCTACAACAAGAAGCGTATCAGCATCACTGCTCGGCCGAGTCTCAGTAAAGTCTCCCGTGCTCGGTAGTTCAGACTGAATATTCACAGCTTTGATTTCAGGAGGCTGGAGAAATGAGACACTAGCCTTCCCGTCCACTACGTGTACAGCTTAAAGAACTTGTGTTTAAAAAAACAAAACACAACAAAAAGAACTTCATTTTCGACATCTGCAGGATCATTTCAATGCCACTTAATAACCTCTCGCAACATTCAGATATATACTCTGCCCAGAAAACGGGCTCCCCTGCTGGGATCAGCTTTGGGATTATAATACTTGGCCGGATTAATCACTGCGCAGGCAGGTTATAAAAATATATATACACAGAGTATACATAAGGAATATAGAGGAAATAATCACTGGATATTACATTAGAAAGTTCATGCTAATTCAAATCTGACTGCATCACATCCACCGTTTGTCTAAAAAGGCACAAGATACTGTAGCCCCTCCTTAGCGGTGACAGACAGAAATACAGGAGAGTCACAGCCCCACGGGGAATGTGCTTTATATTTCCACAGTGAAAACAGCAGCAGAGATTCTCAGACTATTTTAAACATTGATCCAACGAGACAAAGACTCGAAGGAGAAATCCACCAGTTTAACACTTCAAGTGTGTGTGTGTCTGTGCAGGTAACGTTTGCTGGGAGGAGGAGGGGGGAGAGACTAAAAGAGAAAGGGTTTTATTTAAACGCTATATAATTAATGTTTAGTTTAAGTTGTGCAAGGATGGAAAAATTTATTAAATTAGATTTTCTTGCAGATTTTTAGGGATATGTAGTTACTGTCATTCATTTTTGGATGTGAATGCAGCTCAAGTTTAAATAAAACCCTTTCAAGTGAAGAAAGTACAAACCTGCAACCTGTTATTTCAAGATTTGATAGCAAAAAAAAAAATAAAAAATCCCAAACCTGAAACATCTGCTGTGTTTCTGTCTGTCATGAAATCAGCTGTTAAGAATTTGCTGACAGAAGAACTGATGAATCTGTAAGAACTGAAGTCTGTAAATCTGAGTAATGCCAACTGGCCTATGGAAAGTGTGGTAACATCTTAGCCATACAGTACGCACAACTTACCTACTGTATGCGTATACACTGTACAGACATGCAGGTTGAGGGGAAACAATCAAAAAATACAAGTAGTACATGCTTTGAGTATGCTCTGAGAGGACAACACATTTTGGAAGATACCCAGCTCAGCCCCACCCAACCCCTTTAGCATTAGATTAATGCATTTAATATTTAGATGTTAGTCATCTATTTACCCTATTCACTAAGGCGTCACAGAAATATGTCAATCGTACCATGCTCTATCGTGACGATACATTTTATACAGTAAAGTAAATCATGCAGATTGCCACGGTGCTTTCTGATGTCGCAGACCGGTCCATCAAAATTCATGTTCTTATCTGCCAGACAATTTTTGAAAAAACGAATGTAAATAATAAAATGGCATATTGCTACCATTCCTATTGCTCAGATTCTGCAAAAAGGACAAGCACCACCATGGTGTTTAAAAAAAGGGCACTGAATACAGTGTGTAAGATTGCACGCTATGCAGTGCATGTGCAAACAAGTGAAACAAGTACATGTGGGTGAGTCTTCTGACTGC